GGGGGGGGGGTGAGGGAGGTGATTAAATATCGTAAAACTATCTTTCTGATTCATTACTTAATGACTTTAAAGCAATCTTTCAGATGGAGGAACTTGAATAATTTTAAATCCTTCATTCTCAGGACCCTCAGGATCCTTCAGTGTATCCAGGACCTGACACAGCCCTACTGCCAAATACAAACAACCACCCTGATGGAACAAAACAGTCTTACATCCAACTGAACCACCATCGAATACGACATGTTGAGCTCAGATTTTCAAACTTAAAGTGCTCCTGTCTTGTAACTGAAGTTTTCTTCCTCAGTAGAAAAACACACAACAGCCCAGGAGGAAACAGAACAGGCCAGTGTGTGTTCATTCTAGGCAACTGAACTTTATTTTATTTTTACATTTTATTCAGTTTTTATTTAAATTGTTAACTCTTTTTTTGCACACWTTGTCACTTTGTCTCTTTGAAATCCCACACCAGACTTTAACACACCTTTACAAACACACAGTATTTTGTGTGTCCTTCATAAAAGCTGAACTGTTTTTGTCTCTCCACAATGAGATCCTTTTATCCAGCCAGGATCTCATGTGGTCACACATACAGTATATTGTAGTTCCAAATTAAATATCAAAGCGACCACAATCAGTGTATGTAGCCAGTAAATAAAGTTGAAGTCATGTAACAAAGGTGATCAACCTGTTCATCGGAACAGCTAACCGTTGGTTTTCTTACACGCTCCAAAACATTTCTTGACCCGCTCACTGCTGGTGGCCTTAAAAAATTACTACTATCTATGACTTTGCCTTGGGCAAATCAATTGTCATACCTGGTGTTGGGTATTTTCTTAGCACCTTTAAAGAAAATAAGCACAGACAATCAAGTTCAAGTTGTGAGCAGACAATCTTTGCAAAGAGAGAGGTTCACTAACACCGGTCTTAACGTGAGGCCAGCATCAGAGAAGCTCTGAAGCTCTCAGCTCAGTGACACTCTTTTTATTAAAACACACAGAGATACAGGATATAACATTTCAACCAATCAAAATATGAATATAAGTCCTCATATGTGGTAGCCCATCCCCTGTTACATTTTTGCAACACATGATAGTGTGCTGCTTTGCACACTAAGACAAAAAGGAAGACAGGAAATGTGACAGGGTGCAGGTGCTGTCTGGTTTCAGCCGACGCCAGAAGCAGCGTGGGGGGGCAGGGTGAGGCTTGTTCAGTTAGGCTGCAGACAGAGCAAACACATTTATGAGAATGAACACATTAAATGAAAAATATAAAAACCTCTAACACCTAGTTCACACAGTTATACACGCTTTTCTGAAGAAAATACAAAGAGCTGAAAGCACGCTCACACCTGCACTAACCGTAACCCAATTTAATGAAAACTCTGCTGAATTTTTGTCCCTTGTTCTGGAGATGTGATGTGCAGTATTTTTTATAAATTATAAACAAGCCATTTGTGTATAAGCTTCAATATGTGCATGTTTGAATCCAATATTTTAAATTCTGCTATTCATTTGTTGACAGGAATTTAGTTACATGAGTATTGGTGGCACTCCTTTTTCTGGTTCATTACAGGATAAGATTAGTTTTTAACGCTCTTCATAATATGGTCTGTTTCTATGACATATTTTTGTTATTTATTATTATTAGCAGTATTTTTTAATTATTTTTTTGTGAGCAGAAGATCAACCAACCAAAGAATTTACATATTTGCATAGGAACTTATGAAACCTTCCAGTTTTCTTGTTCTCGTTTCATCATGTTTGACAACTTGATTTTTTATTAATTGTACTTGTTTTGTTAAATTATGTCACTGAATTTTAGTTTATTACTCATGCTTGCAAACATTGCGCTTTCAGCATTTTCATGGCACATAACTGAATTAGGCTATTTGTTACAGCTATAATTTTGTTTTTAGCACTTGAATGTAACATAAGCAGGACAAACACTTTTTCTTCGCTTAGACAATTTTTTCCTGCACTAAGATTATAAAAATGGTGTGTAGCCTATTTAGTACAACTTTATTTGTAAAATGCACAGAATCATCAGTAGGACAAGGACACTTTGAGGTGCATCATCAACGTCATGTGATGTAGGCACACGACTAATTCTCTGAATAAATATACTAATTTATAAAACAATGAGCGTTCTGTTGTCTGACCCTGAGATGCTTTATTATTTATAATCTTATTTYTGTCGTTTTACTTGTAGGTATTTCATTATAAATCATGTCAAAACAGTTGTTTCTTTATTACAAAGTTGAACACAAACGCAACAAACTTGAACGTGTCCGCGCGTCGGATAGCTTTGTAGTCMATGTTGCCATGTATCGTATTGATGTGACAGTTTTAAGTAGTTGTAGTTTGGGCATTTTCGTAACCTAAAATGAAAAGGTTTTTTTTACACTCCACCACCTGCTCTAGTAAGCGAAAAAGCGCCCTCACATCGAACTAACAAAAGTGTGGGCCGAAGGACGAGCGTTTTAAAGCAAAATTACGAAACTTTGTYATTTTCTATTTGGCAACCCTGTTGGCCGAGGTCTCTTCGTGGTTGGATCACTATAAATACTCATCCAAGCCGGAGTCGCATTGCAGTGGCAACAAACACCTCGCGAACTAAARGTCCTGTGAATAAATAAGGAGTGTTTTTGTTTTTTTAATGGAGCCGGAGCAGGCTGGTGGTCCCGCGAGGAGACGGAGGAGATGTTGGATTGTGACCGTGATAGTTGTGCTTGTTCTCATCTGTATCCTCGCCCTCGGGTTGGGGCTGAGCCAGCGCCAAGCAAACACTGGAAATGACTTTAAATCGACATTTCTGAGCAGGTGTCAACAATTCCAAGGGTTAGTGTTGTTTCAACTGTCTGTGCAGCTGGGAGTGTTTCAACTTGAAAAACTTCAGCTGAACTCAGAGTAGCTAAAGTTATTTCTAATAACATAAAATGTATTTATTTTATTTCATGTTAAATAACCAGTGCAGCCAAAAACGACCACCATGACTAAAACTGGAAAATAAAAATAAAATAAAGTTCCTTGCTGATACATTTCTCAGCTAATATGCTTGAAAATAACTAACTGCAGAAGTTCTGTCAAAGATCTGGACTCTTTATTATCATATTTAACGACTAGTCAAAGGTTATTGTAAATCCACTTTTGGCTGCACTGTGTAATTTTAAAGACATGAAGCTTTTTTATTTCTATGTCAAGTGTATGGACTGGAGATAGGATTAGGGCAGACTGTATTGACTGTTTTGACCTATGATTTACAACTCTTTTAACACAGTGCCTTTGAAAAACATGAAATTAAAATGCAACTTTACAGTCACAGTAATGCCTCATACTTTATTATTGATACCAAATTTGTTATGTTGGTCCATACTGACTTGTTATACCTTGAAGTGTTTAAAGTTGAAGTGTGTATAGGCTACTTTGTTGTTTTTTCCAAGCAGTTTATTTGCATTGCCAATACATTGATGTAATGATTTTTTAAATATATATATATTATACTGTTCGAAAGTTTTAAATCACCTCTTGTTTCTTTGTGTTTTGCTTCCAGACATTCTTGGCATCTTTTTAAGTGATCTTAATCTGTACATTATTCATCTGGGTTTTATTTTTTTTTGAAGGTTTTTCCTTTCTTTTCTATTTTTATTCATTTTCTGTTCAATCCTTGTACCAAACTATGATATTATATTGGGCAGTGGGTACTGAAAAGTACATTATATGCAGCAGATAAACAGTTTTTGAAAGTCACGTGTGTGTAAGAGACAAGAAAAAAATCCAGAAAAAATATAATGCAGGACCTTACAGATCCATCATTCATTTCTGAGATTGAACCAGCTTTGACAAGCTGCTGGTTACAAAAAAGACAAAAAAGTCTAAACCATTCAGTAAATTTAGAAAAAAACAAACAAAAAAATGAAAATAAGACCATCACATCTTCGAAAGAAAATCAACAGACCTATATTGTTTAGTCCTTATTGTTTGTCTTTCAGGAGTAACTGTCAACGCGCATGGGATGCGTTTCAGCAAGCGTACGTGAACCGAGATCCGTGTAATGTTCCAGTGGACGCCTATGACCCTTTCATTACTGCCGTCACTTTAAAACCTCAATGCAACAGAGTAAGAACTTGTTAATTCAGTCTGATCTGACGTGAGGTGGGGTATGTTTAACAGTGTCATCTATTAACTATGTTCGGGGTCTAGATGATGTTCTGGAGCAAAACGAAGGAAGTGGTCCATGACTTTAATGAGAAGAAAAACTGTTTTCAAACGCTGGAGGACACCTTTCTGGGATCTGTCCTGGACAAGCTGACCTGGTGTGGAAAGGATGGCAGCTTCGGTAAGAGTCCAAACTGTCCTCATGACTGGTTTGGTGTAGAGACAAAAAAAGTAAGAGTAGGTCTTTGCCCCAACATGTCAAAAGCAAACTATGTCGCTGCTTTTGTGATATGATCTCAAGTAATTTTATGATCAGCCATCTTTTTATTTCTTTGACATAACTCCACCCAGAAAGCTTATAGGCTRTAGGTTACCTTTATGCTGAGGCAATTGCTCTAATGGCTCTAGATAAGCTGGTTTCCAAATGGAACCTGGCCAACATAAACAGAATTTCACATTTTAAACAAAATCGAGTCATGTCTTGTCTGCGTTACGTTTCACATGAATTACGATGAATAATGGCAGTAAGTGCGACAATAAAAGCTTTCAGGATGCTTTTGTTACTCTTTCTTAGGAATGTTTAATTTTGAACCTATTGAAAGACTGCGTAATCCCTCCCAACAAAAATGATCTTTGCACGTAATGCCACCAAACACAAAATTTTATAACCAACAACAGGTTGTTGTCAAATGGCATTTGTTGCTTTCCTTTTTTGTATATAGAAAATGAAATCTGAAACACTTAAGTAGTAAAACAACAACATTTCTTTAGCTGAGCTGATGTTGGAAAAATTCAATTGGATTGGTGTGAAGACCTGGTGCTTGAATCACAAAAAATCCAAAGCCAGCAGCACAGTAAAACACTGAAAGTGACCAGGATAACAAGATTAACAGGAGGATCTGACAATGAACTGAGGTAAACCAGAAGTATAAATACCAGAGAAGGTGATTACGGAGTGAAACACAGGTGAGCTGATTACTGATGAAAAACAGACCAGGGTAAAGCTGGACGTCAGAGCTGCTGAGATGTGTGGGCTAAAATTGAACACTACGAAACTATAAAATCAAACAAAAGTTATTTATTAACAAAATCCCCTAACATCATGACTGTGCTTTTCCACCTCTAAAGACAGTGCCCCACTGTGCCGAGACTATTTGGTACTACAACCCCTGGCAAAAAATATGGAATCACCAGTCTTGGATGAGCACTCATTCAGACATTTCATTCTGTAAAACAAACTAATAAAAATACTGTTTGTCGCTCATCAAGTCCATGCCTCAGAGACTGCAAGCCGTTATAAAAGCCAAAGGTGGCGCCACTGAACACTAGTGATGTATTTTGAATGGTCTTTGTCTGTTTTTCGTGATTCCATACTTTTTTCCTCAGAATTGAGTGATTCCATATTTYCCCCCGCTGTGCTTGGTCAATAAAAGTAACATTCAYTGACTTCCACAATGTTTTCTCTTCATTTCTTCGAGTGTTCCTGAAAGCCAACAAGTTGCACTTTGGAATGACCTTATTATTGTTTCATGTTTTTGATCTGAGTTTGTTTTACAGAATGAAATGTCTGAATGTGTGCTCATCTAAGACTGGTGATTCCATACTTTTTGCCAGGGGTTGTAGCTGATAAACATCCTTTGTGAGGGCATCTTCAAAAGGTCTTGAAACATTACCAGTTTCAGAGGCTATTGTTAGTCTCAAAACCAGACCACGTGACCTAGAATACAAATTTGCAAGCCATACATACAGTACAAATGAATTAAAGTTTGTGCCTGAAAACAAAGTCACATGTCTCTCTGGTTGCAAACATCAAAAACTTGGCAAAAAAAATTTAAAAATAAATCTGAAAATTATCCTATTTTCTTGCAATGTGCCTTACCCACTAGTCWCCAGTCACAGTCCAGTGATGGTTCCCAATTACTCACAAACAAAAAACGTCCATCTGCATCATGGAAGTGGGGACTAGGCAAGTTAGTCAAACGAAGCTCAGGTCATCAGCTCAGATGTATGGTGATCAGGTGTAACAGAAGGCATTTTTCCATTGCTAAATGTGGCTCCACTGGTTCTYGTCAGATCGGTTCTACTCGGATGTAGGTGATTTTCCACTGCAACTGTGTCCCCGCTCTGTGGACGGCATCATCATTGCAAAATGGGCGGTAACATCATTTAGAAGTAGGTGGTATAATTAACGTGGAGGCGCTGAAGCTGCCGTTTATTGTTGCTCATTCAGTGCTAAAGTTGACATTAAAAAGTCTGATATTTGTTCTGTAAATAATACTCATACCCTACTAAAGCAAACTGTTGCTTATAAATGCAGCAGAACACAACAAAAATGATTTTCTTATAAATTGAGTGAGTAAATATAGGCTATGTTGTTTTCATTTTATTTTTTCTTATGGATTTAACTCAGTGAAAAGCAAATAGTATCGCTGATAGTATCTTTATTTCACAAAATAATAGTCAGACATGACATAACCACAAAAAAAACCACAATCAACTAAAATACTACTTTAAAGTCCAAATGTAATGGGAGAAGCTCCTCTCTCATGTAGCCACTAAACCCGCGGCTTCCTCGACCTGGCTGGCAAGGCAACCGGTAWTGATGTCATAAAAACGTCCCGGGAGCTCAGCTGGTCACTTGTCGAAGGGGACTCTGAACAAAACGACCATGATTAGCCTCGATTATTGTAAACAATAATTAYAAGAGGGTCTTGGTTTTTAGCCTGGATTGCTAAATAGGATAATTAGCTAGCTGCTAACTATTTAGCATTGGAAACGAACATGCACAAAGGACACATCCGTACAAAAAAAGTACAATTTCACAAGTGAGATRTGTGTCCCACAATTTAYGTTCAATRTCTCATAAAATGCATGAAGCAATCACCATCCTCAGGTGTCTCTGAAGTTTGTGTACAGTCCCAGTCTACAGTTTGCGGTAACCAAAACAGTGGCTGTAGATTGCCTCCCTTTACCCAAACTAACTCTGGTTTGAGCTAATCCAGCTGTTGTGGTCCTTCCCTGCTCTAAAATCTGGCTCAAGATTTTTTAGTTTCTCCCGGCGCTTTGCCATCATTTGGAAAATCTGTAAGTTCTTGCGTTTTCAGCTCGCTCTGACTGCTCACGCATCTGTTCGTATATTATGTCATCCAGGGCGGTTCATGTAATTCCACCGGCCAGTCAGCGACTGCTACATGCCCCAAACGGTGCAGCAGTGTAGTACTACGTCCGAGGAGGTTCCACAAACCGGGCTGAAAAGGTGTGGAAGCTGACAGTGGACAGATCAAAAACTGGTGGAGTGGGGTGGAGCCAAAGAGAACCGAGCCTGTGGAAAAATGCCTCAAATGAGCAGAGAGGTGTCTGCTTGGAGGCTTCTGGAGTTTTATAAAACATTGGCGGCAAACCCTACTGGGGTCTCTTGCATAAAGGAATGGGAGGTGGGCCATCCTTGGACCCACTCAACAGGTACAGTAACAAGCAGAGAGGTGTCGAGTGGTGGAAGTTGAAAGAATCTTATCAGTCTGAACACTTTGGCAACAGGAACACATCTTTGGCAGCACAATGGCTTAAGAATCCAGCATACTCGATCTGAAGCAGTCAACATGTGGTTGTTTAACTTTTGTTGTTGCACATACTTTTCATAGCCCCTGAGACACACTGCAAGCTCCTGGGAAACCCCTCCTGTGATACACATCACTGCATGGGATTTCTTCCGGCTGGAATCTACAAAAAAACCCAGTTATTTCGTCTACAAATCTGTTTTGGTTAAAGCGCTTCAGCTTTTGTCATACAGATTCCTCCCTGCACAACATCTCTTTTATCTCCCTTCATGAGTTTTTGGTCATTTGACTATCTTTATAAATGTCTGCTTCCACGTAAAACAGTCAGATTCTGTAAGCGAGTAGTTGTGCTTTCAGCATAAATGAACACACCCACAAACTTCCGACCAATCACACATTAATTTTGTATGTGGAGGGAGCAAAAGACTCTAAGCTGTGGACAAAATGATGTCTCACAGCCTGGACAATGAGAGYTGATTTCAGCAGGAGCTTGTGGAGGCCTTTAGTGGTTAGCGCCTGATTCCTCACAGCAAGAATGTCCTGGATTCGATCCACCAGTTTAGACAGCAATTCCCTCTGAGGACAAACCATCTCATCCACAGTATCAGAAAAATATACTAACACTACTGCTTAAAGAGATACTGTATGTGATACGTGAGGAGTACACCTGGATGTGCTGTGGTTGTAGAGCATAGCTTTAGCATCCTAGATTTGTTTTCTTCGGACATMGTTTTTGTTTTGTGTTTAAGAAGTTCAGAAAGTTAAACCATTTTGCCGGCTGGGTTCGTTTTGAGTTCAGATCCTTCCATCATAAAAAGCAAGTTGAAATWGTTGGAAATCTCCAAATGCAGACACCCACACCTACGACGGATCRGATGAAGATCTGTATCTTTAATCACACAAATCCAAGGCAAACAGTGAGCAACCGCACAGCAAAGTGACCAGGATAACAGGATTAACAGAAGGATCTGACAAGGAGCTGAGGTAAACCAGGAGTATAAATACTGGGACGGGTGAATGCCGAGTAAAACACAGCTGAGCTGGTTACAGATAAYAAAAACAGACCTGAGTGGAGCTGGACGTCCGAACTGATGAGTCTAAAAACAAGAACAAGGAACCTCAAACTGACCGTTAACATCATGGCACCTCTTGTCTTTGGTCCAGCATTTTGCCAGAGTGTCCTGTAGTTTCAGATTTGTTGAGTTTCAGCTCATTGACGCCAACTGTTTGTTGCTTTTGTTGCAGAAACATTCACCACTGGTTGCCCGGCGTGGAATGAATGTGACAACCCCGTCCGCTCATTTTGGCAGCGAGCTTCGGCTGCCGTGAGTCAAAAACAACAACGTTACAAGTTTTGTTTTGTTTTTTTTTCTTTCCCCTCAGATATCACAGTTGTAGGGTCGAGCAGGGGACAGTGTAACACAGATGTGCTCCATGTGGATTTTGGTGTATATGAGTAAAACAACAAAGGTTAAACTGCCTGCATCTTCATCAATGAGGCTTTGTGTTGGTCTCCATGGAGCCACATTGCGTAACTCTCTCCTGAGTGAACACCGGCCCACACAGAGAGGTTCCAGTTTGGTTCGGCTGCAGAAACACTCTTACAGCAAACTAAAAACAGGCAAAAAAAAAAAGGTTATTTGAATTTGAACCATCAGGTAAAATAATCAAAAAAAATATCCGCACAGATTCACATAAGTTGTGTTATTTTTGAGTAAACACAACAAAGGCTAAAACAATCAGGAAATCAGTTCATCTCCCAGGCTCATAATGAAATTAATAGTTCATTTATTTTGTATAAATCTAAACTGTATTTCCCTTTAACGTCAACTTCCTGTGTGCAGTTTGCAGATGCCGCCTGTGGCAACGTCACTGTGATGCTGAACGGTTCCATCGCCACACCGTTTGATCCTTCAAGGTCGGTTGGTCAGTTTCATGATTGAAACCAAAACGGCTCTTCGTTGTTTATTGTGTAGTCAATTAAATTTTCTCTTTCATTTCTATTTTCAGTATTTTTGCTAGTATTGAGGTGAATAAATTGAAGTCAACCCAAGTGAACACCCTGAATGTTGTTTTGGTC